AAGATCAAAAGGTATGTTTTTTCGATTTCCATTCATAGCTTAGAGGAAACTTGATAAATTCCAAATTCCAAATCCAATTTCTAATCTTGTTGAAAGCGTTTTCTTGCATATTACTGTTTGCTTTTAAATTCAAACCAGTATTATCGAATTTTTTTAAAATTTTTATCACAATTACCATTTTAATATCTTTAAAGAACTTATGTCAAACATCAAAAAACAGTTTTTGTCAAAATTTTTATCAAAAAATTAATCATTAATCATTAATAGAATTAATCATTTCTTTTATTCTTATTCATATTCCATTAAATAATAAATTTTTTTTAAAATAAATATAAAATATTTTCAATTTTTGAATTTGTTACAATTTTCTTCTTTAGCATGCAAATAGTTTTATTTTCCATTAAGCGATAGCTGTCGTTATTTTACTTTATTTTTCTTCGAACTCCTGCAAAAAAACTATTTCATTTTTCCTTTTTCCTGTCAATTAAAGCATAATTATAGATTTATTTTGTTTTTAGAAAGATTGTCCCAATTTTGGCATCCTAAACTGTTAATTTTGTCGGGGGCACAGGCTGCATGGCTTCGTCTGCAAATCCATCAATAGTAATTAATAAACTTAGTCCAACTCATCAAATCATTAAAAAAATGCACTCTGAGTCCTGCTTTTGACTTCTATACAAGCAAAATGGTTCCACAGATATGGTTCTTCCTTTACTACCGGTGAAGCCAGCAAACGAGAAATGATGCAACTCGCTCGACTGGTTTGACGCGCTAAACGAATATGGTAGGAGTCCCTTGGCGATAGAAGTATAGGTAAATCGCTACCATCACCAAGATTTTCTCCTGCGGGGAACATCGGCGCTCCGATGCTGTGGAAGAACGATAATAGTAATATATCAAATATATATGTCGTTCTATGATCAGTCCGTTCTGAGTAATGTTTTTAATTTATTAATTTGCTAGTTTTGTTGAATCATATTATTTTGAATCTTAGTTGATTCATTATTAACTTGTTTTCATGACCGAGCGTGGAGAAATTTTCCCTTCCTCTTTAGGGCATTCGCTAATAAGTACGCATGCCATTGATTCATTTCGGCGATAAGCATGGGGTGAACAGAAACATTCATTAGGTCGACATATGTAGGGGCACGGAGTCTGAAAATCCAAATAAAATTATCTAGCCGAGATACGAAAAATTAAAAAGGTTATAAATATAGATTAGTTTCGGTTAAATCAAGTCATAAATCAAGGCCAAAGTATTCGCAATTTGAGCTAAGAATTAAGTCTAATTTTTAAAAAAACTTGCTATACTACCGAAATCGCTACTCGAAATCTCGAGTTCTTCTTTACTAAGCCAACTTTGATCTATTTAATTGCATAATTTGTGCGCTTAATATGTTATAGGACTTGGAAAAGGGAATGGCATCTTTGAAGACATCTTACCCTTGCATCCAGCGGATCCATGCTAACCAGTAATGGTGAGAGCCATTTAGAGAAGAAAAGGATGCTAATAGTTCTCTTTGAAACTTACGAATTCACTTTGGCCACAGTTTAATTCACAACCAGCGCAATCGCTTTTAACTTCGTTCTTACTGCATTCCTTATCACCGTGCAGAGCACAAATTGCTAATACCTAAAAATAATTTCTAAATTTGGAACGGTATGGAAAATGGACAGTTCTGTTCACCACTCTCGCAAAAGATAGGAATTATTAATGATTTCAAGTAATTACTTTTATATTTCGATTATTCTTTGTTAAAAATTATTAAGTTATAAGAATTAAATGATTAATATCATAATTATTACTTTTATTATTATTATCACTACTATCATTATCATTTTATTATTATTACCACTATTATCATTATCATTACCACTAATTTTATTAAAAAAGGAAAAATGAACTAACAAAAATGAAAATTGTGAAAAGCATCACAATGAAACGATCCACTAAAGAATTATTTTACTGAATTCTGAAAGTATTTATAGGTGATGTTCAGGTATCCGTTTCTCCGTTTACTATCACCGTATAGGACACAAATTTTTAATAGCTAAAAATAATTTCTAAATTTTACCATTTTTTCTCTTCCTCCAACATCAAATTATCGATATTTTTAGTCAAAAATAGATTTTGATACAAAATATTTTAATCCTCCTTGCTGTTATTTGTCATTGTTAATAATCACAATTATCGAAAAGTAATTTTTCAATAATTCACCAATTTCCGCAATCTTTTTATTAAAAATATTGAATAGAAAATTGTATTCAAATAAATAAATATTCATGGCTTGCTTGGTTCCAATAATTATGGCAGCTATTTAATTAAAGATTCGCTTATCGATAGAGATATATAAGGAGACATTCGGCAGTCAAATCATCCATTAGCCGAAGTATCGTAGCAGACAAATTTGCTTATTAATGAAATGCTCAAATGCAAATGGCTCAACAATTTAAAAATTTTAGAAAATCTGAAAAACCCTGGAAAAAATTTTATAGTGCAAGTAAGAACAAAAAAAAAGACATAGCGATATATAAAAATAATGAAAAAAGCAAAAAAATATTTTTCATGAAATTTTTTCAAATTTCTTTTTTTTGCTGAATTTATTGAGTTTTTTTTATTATTATATTTTATTTATTATTAATTTATTAGCGTTCACAAAACATTTCTTATCGACATTACTTCTTGGCATTACTTTTATATTATTATTTATTTTTTTAACTAAAATTATTTTAAAAATTTATTTTAAGAAAATCAATTCTATTTGAAAGAATTCCTTGCTGATCTAATTAAATGAAATCCTGTCTTTGCTAATATGAGGAGGATAATTGTCGAAATCTGGCATATTTACATTCTTGTTTTCTTTAATATTCTTAATTTTTATTTTAAAAATTACAGTGTTGTTTATATTTAATTTCAGGAATATTTATTTTAAAATAAAATAAAATATTTTAGAATGGATAATTGGAAATAATTGGAAATTGTTAGGGTATTCTGGATCTTTCGAATATTCCAGATATTTTTTATAGCATAATTTTTTTGTGAAATCTTGCTCTAACTGTTATTCAGTTATAATTTTATTGTTATAAAAATTATATATTTCCAAAAGAATTTCAAACAAATGGTTATTATCTGCATACAAACCAATCATAAGGGATTTCAATAGTCATCTTATCAATCGTTATCAAACAAATGAAGAAAAATCTTTTTTATTCGATAATAATTAATATTTTATGTATATTTTTTTAATGATTTTTTTAATGATTTATAATCTGATAATATTTTTTTCATATTTCCAATTTTTAATAATCCAAATTTATTTATAATATATCAAAAATTATTTATACATCATGTTTACTATTATAATTTATTGTTTTCGTTTTATAACTTCCAAAGAAAATAATAATATGGCGCAAGATTAACGATTAAATATACGATTAAAGGATTTATAAATTTATACATAAAAAAATGTGATTGAAATAATATAATGAAAAATAAAAAATTTTTGTTTTTTTTTATATTTAATACTTAAATATATTTTCTATATTTATTTTCAACTATTTAAATTATATTTAAATCGAGCTTAAGCCGAAGCCAATCGGGCGTGGTCCAAGCCTGACCTGAGGCTCTTGTGCTTATTTTGAGATAGCTATAATCATCCTTTCAATGAGTACAGTTTTACCGTCCATTTGCAAATTTATCTATGTATTTAAATATCTTAAATATCTTTCAATTCATTAAAATTTCTCATACATTTAAATCAGTAAAATCAAATAAATTTTGAATTAATTTTAAAATAAAATAAAAATTCTGCTATTTTAGATGAAATTATGGAAGCCTTATAGCCGTCGCAGTCAGCCTAACTAGTAATGGTGGTAATTTGAAGAAATATGCCTAAATTTGCTTACTATATATAAGTGGGAGCTCATTTTTTTGGCCTTTGACAATCTAAACAAGTTTCTCAAAATTTTTGAGGAGAGATGGTCATCAGATTTAAATAACTATTACAAAAATATATACTTTCTTATATAATGCTTCCCTTGACTCGAAAAGGATACAGGGTTATCAATATTCCTCTAGTATTACCCTCAAAGGCTAGAAGAATTAGAATGAAAGAAGCCTTATAAATCGAGGTAGAAAAAAGAAAAGGCAATAAATTTTATTTCTCCAGTTTACAATATAAATATGAATATTCGTTGAAAAATTTGAAATGAATTAAATTTGCCAGGTCACTAATGGAAGAAAAAGAAGTCAGATGTTATTTTCTCATCCCTCATTCCTCTCTATTCATTCCAGAAAATATTGGAGGCTATAATCGGACAATTTTGTTGCTGCTCAAGTATCTCATTTGTACCTCATCGAACTGCAATTGCATAAGGCATACTGCATAAGCATGCAGCTTTGCACTGGGGATTGTTATATTCGCTCAGATATATAATATGAAATATCAGGTGAAAAATTCTATATATCCTTATCATATATCCTTTAAGAAATAAATAAACTAAGCATATTTTTTTCTCATTAATTAATTTCGAATACTTTTATATATTTTGCCGATATTGATGATCCAAATCTTATTGCTATATTGTTCAATCATTGTGCTTCAGTGGAAGTAGTCAGTATAAAATTTAAGGTCGAGTGGTGTATTTCTTCGAGTGCCTGGCTAGGAGCGAACATATATGTCATAAAATCTTGCTCCGATGTTGTTGTACCCTACTCATAACCGATTTTCTTATATAATATCCCTTTGGGCGAAGGTAAATCAATAATGGTGAATGGTATGGAGAAAATAAAATATTTTTACAATATTTTTTTCAATATTATCATTATTATCATTTTAAAATCTTCAAAAAATTTTGTATTAGTTATCAAAAAAAAATTTATTGCAATACCAAAATTCTTATCAAAAAAATAATCATTTTCATTCGTCATTCGTATTTTATTGGTAAACTTTTGTTGACAATAATTTTCGATTATTCATCAAGAAACTGTGAAAAATAAATCATTTGTTGCAGTCTTCGACTTTGATGCAATTTCCTTCTTCGTCACGAACATAATTCTTTATCATTGGGCAATAACAACCTTTTCCAAAGCATTTACGTGGACAAGGTTTAAGTCCAGTTTCGCATTTCCCTTCGCATCCTTTACAGGAACTATATATTTCATTTTCCTTCTCACATCTAACGCCTAAATTATAGTTTTTAGTCAATTATAGTTTTTTAAATTATAGTTTTTGTTTTAATTTTTCCAGAGAAAGATTATTTCTAATTTTAATTCTGATATGCAGCATGGCTTCGATTCCTATCCATTGATATTTTTTAATTCTGATAGCACACTTAGCATAACTTGAAATAAAGTCATTTAAAATGCAATCCGTTATTAATATGCCACTAACAAAAAGTTTCATCCTAATCATCTAGAATATGTGTGTTTATGATTATGTTTATCACTAAAGTTTATCACCAAAATTTTATCAATAGAACATCAGTGAAGCTAGAAAAACTAAATCTCATGGCGGATCTTTTTATTGCTAAAAAATTTTATCATTCTTGCAAATGAGTCACTCGATACTAACTCATTTTTTCTATTTTAGGGCATTCATTAATGTGCACACATGCCCCGGATGCATTTCGACGATAAGCATGTGGCGAACAATAACATTCTTTAATGCGGCACATCGTAGTACATGGAATCTGAAAAATTGAAAAACCTGTAGACGTTTTGATTTGCAAATCGTTTTTGGCTAAACTCTTCAAAATTTGAGTGGAAGATTTTGGCTTAAACTTGCTTACTTTTAGCCTTTGGGGGTGTTTAGTTAATAAAATTATTTTATTGCACAATATATATATAAAATTTTTTTTAAAACTTACGTGATCGCTTTGACCACACTTTATTTCGCAACCAGCACAATCGTTTTTAATTTCGTTTTCACCGCATATTTTATCGCCATTTGCAATACAAATTGTTAATATCCGAAATAAATTTTAAAGATAATTTGAAACGATTCGGAAAAAAGCAAATAGTGGGGAATGATTACAACTGATTAATTTTCATAGTAATTTTAGTAAAAAATAAGAAAATTGAAGTGTATTTAGCTAAAGGACGAAAATGTTGATATATTTTTAAATATATTTTTAATATTTTTGAATATTTATAAATATTTTGTTGAGAATTATTAATTTTTAATTAATTAATTTTTAAAAAACTATTAATATTTTTATCATTACTAATTATTGTTAATATAAATATTATATTATTACTTCATTTATTATTAATATTCGTTCATTTATTCATAATAATAATATTAACAATAACTAACAAAAATAATTATTTATTTATAGGAAAAGGTGAAAAACTAACATAGACGAAAAGTGCGTGAAGCATCACAACGAAATGAATTGCTTAAAATTGCTCAACTGAATTCTGAAAATCCCTTACAGATTTACTGATGAGATTCAAAAATTAATTTTATTATCTTTACTTTCCCCTTTTGCATTGGATTATAGAAATTTATATAAATAAAAATATTGTTATTATACCAAGTATTTTTGCTATATTATTTATTTATCAATATTATCAATCGTCGAAAATTTTCTATAATGTGATTTCTTCTACATTATTCGCCGTTCTCTCATAATTTTTTTAGCAAACATCAGATAATTTTCTCTTAATAACACGCGAAATTCATGTTTTAAATTAGCTGCAATTAATAGGATTGACCACTTCGATAGAAAGTCAATTCGGCATAGAAATATAAAGAGATCGTCACTAATAATCTTAATTCAGTTTTTAATGATAAATTTACTCCTATCAAAATCTAAGTGTATACCCTATTTTCTTCAGCCAAAAGCATATTTTAAATGTGGAAATTTTAAAAAATCTGAAAATCTTTTAAAGAATTTATACAATAAAATTAGGAAAATGTCAGAAAAAAAGAATATAATATGGCATGAAATGCAGTCAAACAGCAAAAATAGGAAATATAATAATAAAATTATTTTAAATTTTTCTTTTGTTCAACTCAAAACGAAATCAAATAAAGGAAGTTTTGTTTTGATTTACAATAATAACGATAATAGCGATAAATACTATTATTATTCAGGTTTTACGACTGCAAACTACAGTGGTTGAATTCCCTATTCCTTATGTAAACCCTTTTTATTTTTCTTTTTTTCCTTTTTTTTATTTTTTAATTTTCTTTATTTTGTGAATTTGTTGAATAAATACGATTTGAACGCAAATTCTCTAGATGAAATTTTCTGGATAGAATAGCTCAGTGAATTTTTGCTTGATTCAGAGTGCGGATATTATGGTACGACATCATTCAGGAGTAAACCTGTCTAGAAATCCGGATTATATTCATTTATAGTCCTATCATTGAAGAGACTCCGGGATTCCCTGACAAGTTTGTCTAGTGATAAGCTAGCGAAGCTAGTCTAACAACCAGTAGTGAAGATTCTTAAAAAAAAAATGGTACGCTGCGCTGTAAGCTGTAAGACCTATCAATTTTAAACACCATTTAATTGAAGGAATTATGTCCCAATTATGTTATATCCCAAAATGTTTCTCTTGGGTCCTCAGACCACGGTTTGACAAATTTTGATCCTACCATGTCGCTCGAGAAAATTATTGTGCTAACAGGCAGATTACAGTTTATTATGCAATATATTATAATGGCGTTTCACTTTACTTAGTAATCAGTAATCAATGCTCAGTCTTATGCCTTAATTTAACGAAAGATTAGATATGCAATATTTTGTTCCCAACATGTAGCTCGAGAATTGAAGTACAACTTCTACCTTCATCCAAGAAGTGTTCTGCTATGACAGCTTTTATCGTTGCGAAAATTTCTTCATTTTTTTTATCATAATGAAGAACCCTATTTAATATTGAATAATTTTCTATTTTTTGAAGTTTGTCATATCATATCATATCAAGTTTATCATATTTGAAAATGCACTATTATTCATTGGCCTTAATGGAAGTTATGTTGCAATATAAAATCGAGTGATCTGCTTTTTCGATTCCTTATTCCTGGGTAAAGAATAAATCTATCATGAAATCGGTGCCGATATTATTGAAGCTATAATTTTTCTTACACATCACCAATTCTCCTATAGTAATTGTCAGAAGTGAAGCATTGGAATGAAATGTTAGATATAAACCAGTTTTTTGCATTTTTCAATTTTTTCATCATTTATTATTATTATCATTATCATTATTATTATCATTTATTATTATCATTTATTACTGATATTTTCAAAATTTTCATATCAACAAAGATCAAAAAAATACCAATTACAACATAAAATTTGTATAGCACAAAAATTATCATTTTAATCATTTTCATTCCTCCTTTATAATAAATAATAAATAATAGTGCTCAGTATTCAATACCAATGATGATAAGTTACAGAGATAAATTTCTTTTGCAAAATTTTTTAATTTTCGTAAAAAATATGAAATATGAAATTTTTTATAAAATATGAATATATTTCAAAAATATGAAATCATAAATCATTTGCAGTCTTTAAGTTTGATGCAATTCTCTTCTTCGTCACGAACATAACCCTTTGCCATTGGGCAATAACAACCTTTCCCAAAACACCTGCGTGGACAAGATTTTAGTCCAGTTTCGCATTTCCCTTCGCATCCTTTACAGGAACTATATATTTCATTTTCCTTCTCACATCTAACACCTAAATATTTGTTAAATTACAGTTGAAATAAGAATTCTTTAAAATTTTCATGGCGAATCGTGTAAAAATATTGTCAAAACTTTTTCAAACCATTTTTTCTTAGTTTTCTAAATTCATTGTGGAGAAAATTTGATGCAATTGAATTTAATTTAAATTAATTTTGTCGCCTTATTTATTTGCATATTCAATTACTATATAGCTTAACTTAGAATTAGTTCAGTAACAAATTCAGCACTAACTTATTTTTTTCCTTGGTTCAGGACATTCACTAATAGGCACGCAAGCCATTGATGCATTTCGGCGATAAGATTGAGGTGAACAGTAGCATTCATTGGGCCGACAAATCGCAGGGCATGGAGTCTGAAAATTAATTTAAACAAATTAATTAATTTAAAATTATCGAGCAAGATATAAAAATTAAATGTAGGCCAGCAGTGCTAATTGCCTGTTCCAAATTATCATCTACATTCAGCCAAGAGAAAGCACTTTTCCCAGGGTATTTTTATCTTCCCACATCAAGGATCTTAGATTTCTGAATCATATTCGGCTAAAATATGGCTTAAGAGTTAGATTTAGCTTTTTAAAGCGTTTTTTGAAAATGTCGAAATTCTTCCTCAATACTGCGAATTTCTCTTTGGCCCTTAGGCCACCTTTAGCCTATGGCTAATTTAATTGCATCGTTTGAAGCTCTTTAAATGCTACATGTTCACTTTGACCACACTTTAGTTCACAACCAGCGCAATGACTTTTAATTTCGTTTTCCCCGCATTCTTTCTCACTTTGTGCATCATAAATGATTACTGCCTGAAACAAAATTCCAAAAAAATGCAAATAGTGATTCCCAAAAGAAGTGAATGAATTTTTCAATGAATATTGTTAATTAATTTTCAGAAAAATTTTAGAAAAAATTTTAAAAATTTTACAATAAGAAAGCAGAAAGTTTTTTTAATTATTAAGAAAAATATTAATATAAATTTAAATAAAATATTTAAAATTACTAAATTATTAATAATAATTATTATCAATAAATACTGCAAGGAAAAGCACTAACATAAATAAATAGTGGAAAAAGCATCACAATTCACTTAAAATTATTTTGCTGATTTCTGAGAATTTCGTGAAACTATTTATAGGTTTAATGAGTTTAGTTTATCATCTTTACTCTTCTTTTTTCACCACTAATTTTAGTTGTTTTGAAAATAAGACTAAATTTTACTGAGCAAATATTTTAATCTTCTTAATACTATTTTTTAACCAAAATTATCACTCAAAAAATTATTTGCGATAATTTTTTCAGCAAATATTTTATATATTTGCCATTAATATATTTTATTTCATAGTAAACATTGGCCTAACAAAGATTTATGGCTTTTATTAGCTCAAATTATTATTGCAGAGGAACAACGATTTCAACAACGAATCGAAGAGTAAGTCACTAAAGAATTGAACTCCAAAATAGTATTCAGTAGTGATATGGATTTAACTTTTCGTGGCGAGTTTAATCCTATATGAATCTATACGAAGAATATGAATCGAACCCCTAACAATTCCATTTAGTTTCCATTCTATGAATTTATCGAATTCTTAAGGAAGCGCTGACAGTAAAATGTAAGAATTTTAGAAAATCCTAAAATCCTCGAATGTGGAAAAAATAAGAAATTTCTTTTTTATGCACTTTTACCAAAATGTGGATAAGGAGGAATACAAAAGGTTTTTTTGAACCATTAAATGATCTCAAATTTAAAATTTGCAAAGGGCATTTTATTGAATATATAAAATAATATTTTATCACAAATCCTATGGATAATACGTGGTGCTTAAAGGAGAGGTTAATACGAGATATGTTATGTTAATTTTTCTATATTCTCTTGTGTCCAACTTTATACATCAACACATATCACCGGTTTTATATATTATTATCATGTATCATATCATGTATCACTTATCATATCACTTATTACTACTTATGATTTATTTATCCATAAAATATTTCCTTGCTGATTATTTGGTTATTTTTTATAATTTTCTGTGCATGAAAACTACAAAACTGTGCTTTGCCTATTAAAATAAGCTTAATATACTTTTGATATTATTCCATAAGAATTTTGCCTTTCAAGTGTTTTGCTTTTCATTTCTTTTTTTATTCCATGAATATCGGATTCTATTCGACAAATTTCCGTTATAAGTCAAATAAATAAGAATTTTCTTAGTTAATGAGGAGGAAAAATTATGAAAATTTTAAAATTTTTGACCATTCGGTTTGCACCAAACTATTTCTTGCTAAAATTGTGCTAAATTAAAAATTATGCTAAAATTATGCTAATATTCGAAAAGAATTTTTATTTATTTAAAATGAAATAGGGGTAATTGCTTAGATATCTCCGATAATTCGAATATTTTTTAAAATTTTATTTTGTATTTCAATTGTAAAATCCTATTATAAAATTTCATTAAATATTTTTATTATGAAAATATTTATTTCCAATAGAATTTTAAAAAACTACTAGTATTACCTCTTCTTAAACAAATATTGAACAATTTTATTGTTTATGTTATCATATCATTTTCATCGTTATCATATCATAGCATTTTAGAAAACAACAAAATATTTAATAAGCAGTTTTTAGTGATTTCTAATTCATTGTTTTTTTCCATATTTTTAATTTTTGATATTTCAAATCTTTGGTGCATTAAAAATCATTTTTGCAATTTTTGCAAAATTGCAAAAATATTTACCATTCTTCATTGTGTTTTCGTTTAATTAAATTCTATAGAAAATAATATTTTATAGAAAACGAACCAGTATTCGATAACAAGAATTATTTGTGAAATTACGGCAGTGCTTTTGCATAAAAAAGTTAGAATCCATGGGAACTTATAATCGTTTTTCATGCCGTGAAACCTTTTGGCGAACTGCTAGGACCCTATGGAGACTCTTTCTTGAAACCAGTTCTTATACCTGTGAACCTTTTTTAAATGGTTGTGCTTAATAAATCTAGGATGATATAGAAATGTGTGCGGTTCCTGAATCTATGAACATTGTTAACGCTAATATTGTTATGGATTAGTTTTATAATTAGTGGAAATAAAAAAACAAAGTCTTAATTGAGAATTAAAAGACCAAAAGACTGCGAATAAGCGTATCTCAGGTTAATCAGAAATGTTTCGAGCTTGAATCGAATTTTATTTTAAATCAGTACTATTTAAAAAAATAGAATGTAGTGATGCTATCAGTTATATAATTTTATAATCTGCTATAAACTATAGTCGTGGATTACTTGCAAGATTTGATAGTGAAAAAAATGGGGAGATTTGGGGGTATTAATGGGTTATAATTGGCTCTAAAGCGTTTAAAATAGTCAACAACAGATTATGGCAAGCAAATGACACGCTACTTCGGATTACTATAGTCTAAGAAGGTTTAAGCTAATGCCTTAAGCTTATTTTCTATCGCCGAAAATAACAGAGCAAGATTTATTTTAATGGAGAATTTTTGAGTAATTTAAATGAAATATGACAATTTCCGAGAATGTTAAGGAAGTAAGATGGGGTTTAGAAGGCCGAAGAATTACAAAATTGGGATTCAAATGTTAAGGATGTGTTAGGAAAAGGATTTTTAAGGAACAAATACAAAGTCAACACGTTTGTTCAGCCTATTTTCTAAGATCAACCACCATCATTGGTTAAGTCCGATCCGCTACTTTGTCGAGCCAAATCAGAAAACCACCTGGAAATAAAAAATTCCATTTCAAAAAGCTTTTTTTTGATATTGGATGCATTATTAAAAGACAACCGGTTAACTAATAAAATTTCTTTAAAAAGTATAAAAGATTTATTGAAATTAATTCATTAATTTTTTAATTTTTCACGGTTTTCTTCACCGAATTTTCTATTTGCCTTTGCCATCTTCTAAATAGAAGAAAATATATTTTTCCATTCCATATCCACACTGCCGGGTGGTGCAAGGGATATAATTGATTCTCTATGGAACAAAGCGAGTGTTTGGTTTCATGCAATGCGATGGGTATCTGTGGTTCTTTTCCTCTTATAAAAACTCTTACCATTGCTGGTTAGGCCGGCTCTGCTGGCTACAAGTGTACGGGCTATCGCTAGTAGTAATAGAAGCAGTTCCTTTTTTCATCGTCTAAGTCTATATATCGCTGGTCCCACTATACGTTCAAAAATTTTCCTGACTGTGTCAGTCTAGGTCTTGACTGGCCTTCCTGGCTTTTGGAGCAAACCATCACAGGGTTTAACGAAATATGCGTCAATTCATGTTGTGGACAACGAAGAACGTGCTCTAATCGGCAAAGGCGACGCTCCGTGATAACATTATTGTATTTGAGCGAGGTTGAATCATGTGGAATTGTATCTTAGGCATGAATGGTCAAAGGCTGATAGCCTCTTAATATTTTCCACTCTCATTCGCCATGTTTCTTAGCTATATAGCAAGATCGAGCGAATTAGAGCTATATGGACTTGGATTGTCGTCTTTATAGTGATTTCGCGACGGTTCCATAAAGATTTTGTGGAAAACATATGTCTAGCTGTCATTATCCTTCTTGCACATAATACGAAAACTCTTTCTCGTTGTTTTTATTTACATTGATTTTGAGCCTAATTCTCGCTGCACTTGTTTACACATTATTTAATGTCATTTGTATTGGCATTTCACTATCTGCAAAAGTATTATTCACGTTGCCTTATATGCATAATAAAAGTTTAATAAAACAATAAAAGCCAGTTGTTTCCATAAAATGGGATTTCTTTTCCAGTTATTTCTTAATTCCTTCTATTTTTATATATATATTCACTTATTTCTAAAAGTGCCATTTCAATTCCCACAATTTTCAAGGGGGTCCGCTTCGCCAGTTTGTCGGACCTGAAAAGTTCCCCAATTCAAGTACCATTGCTGATCAGGCATTTGCTATGTTATAAACAAATTGAAAATTACAAAAGCTTTTGCTTGATAAATTAAGAAGACAATTAAAAATCTGTATATTATTATATGAAAGTAACTCACTGGATTATGCTGTATGTATAAAAGAATGTATAAAATATATTTCAAAAAAATACTTCCCTATATCAATGAATACGAATAGATTTTCAGTAAATATCGCGCAAAATTATATTCAAAATATAAAATAGCAATGAACCAGCGATGAAAATTGAGCCAACAAAATACAAGGACAAGAATGATACTGATAAAAGATTAAGACAAGCTGCTATGATGGTAAAAGAGATACATTGCGGAGTAGTCAAATATGAGAAAAAATAAGTAGAGAAAAAATAAACAAAAAAAATAATAATTAAGCAAAATTGGTGGCAATAACGACGTTAGAGTGAATGAATGAAATAAATGAAATCTTCCATTTAAGGCAAAAATAAACGAAAAAAAATAGGCAAAAATTGAACATTAAATGGCGACATCTATTTGAGAGCTTAGAAAATGTCAGAGATTACTTTCTCTTCTGTTGGCGGTTCCATTGTAAACGTGTGGCTCGATGAGCGAATCAGCTATGCCCAATAGATTGTGGTTTGGCCTCAAAAAATTCTTTCCATCTTACGAGACTATCGTAAAAGAATTTCATAAGGCGTTATGAAAAAAATAACGAGCACATCAAAAAATAACATCAAACCTCCCTTGAAAAAATAATAATAAAAATAATCAGTACAAATGTCTGAACGGATATCTTTTAAACATTATCAAAAGCAAACAATTTGGTCATTATTCTACCTCCAAAAATTGAAGGAGATTTGATAAACTTGTACAAACCTGTTTTACATTAAAAGCTCCCGAAAGAGGGAAATATAGCAATGACTACAAAATACGCAGAAACTATTAGCATTATAAATTTCACCTAAAAGCAATAAGGGCTAACAAATATTCAACACATTAATAGAAAGCTTAATGTAAAATTAAAATATTACCAGTCATGACGATCCGAAAGAACCAATGGTTTCTTAAACAATCACAGATAAAAAAGAAAGTTGTCCAAAATTCTCAGAAAATTCCTCTATCTATCTACTTACAGTTCTTCGTATAAATATCTGCAAACAATTTCAAAACATTGTATGCTGCATTATTGTGTGCATCCTCTTCCGAAGCACCATTTCCGGAACAAACTTACGAGAATTGCAAACGATTTATTTCAATTTGTGGAGAACAACTTTAAAAACTACTTAAGTTTTTCTGGTTAAAAAATATTGGATAACTTAATAAAATGCATGCAATGGTCAATAAAAGGTGATTTATTATTATTACTTATTATTAAATAAAGTAAGATTATATAATTAGGAATAGGCTTACGTCTACAACTCCTGAGAATTAACACAGACGCCAGGAAGTCCACAGAAGCTCATTTGATGACCACTAGCTTAGGCGCAATTATTTTCTACCATTGAAAAGAGTGAAAGAAGAATAATCACTTAATAATCTCCTGGTTACGAAACTGATATTGCTCTTGGAAGTGATCCTCTTAGGTCCTCAAACCACGGTTTGACAAATTTTGATCCTACCATGTCGCTCGAGAAAATTATTGTACTAACAGGCAGATTCCAGTTTATTATGCAATATATGGCGTTTCACTTTACTTAGTAATCAGTAATCAATGCTCAGTCTTATGCCTTAATTTAACGAAAGATTAGATATGCAATATTTTGTTCCCAACATGTCGCTCGAGAATTGAAGTACAACTTGGCTTCTACCTTCATCCAAGAAGTATTTTGCTATGATAGCTTTTATCGTTGCGAAAATTGCTTCATTTTTTTTTATCATAATGAAGAGCCCTATTTAATATTGAATAGTTTTGTATTTTTTGAAGTTTATCATATCATATCAAGTTTATCATATTTGAAAATATTTGAAAATGCAGTATTTTTCATTGGCCTTAATGGAAGTTATGTTGTAATATAAAATGATCTGCTTTTTCGATTCCTGCTTTTTATTCCTGGGTAAAGAATAAATCTATCATGAAATCGGTTCCGATATTATTGAAGCTATAATTTTTCTTATATATGTATATGTCACCAACTCTCCTATAGTATTTGCAAAAAGTGAAACATTGGAATGAAATTAGATGTAAACCAGTTTTTTGCATTTTTCAATTTCATCATCGTTATCATTTATCATTGATATTTTCATAAAACTTTTATAAAACATCAAAAAGTTTATTATATTATCAAAATTTTAAAAATAAGTTCATATTTCAAAATAAACTTCAAACACTCAATATCTATTCAGTGATAAATTTCTAAATTTTTTAAAATATATTTAAATAAAAATATATTCCTAAATAAAATATTTAGGAAAAATATGAAATATGAAATTATTTTTCGCAATCTTCGAGTTGGATGCAATTTCCTTCTTCGTCACGAACATAACCCTTTGCCATTGGACAAAAACAACCTTTTCCATGACATCTGTGTGGACAAGGTTTTAGTCCAGTTTCGCATTTCCCTTCGCATCCTTTGCAAAAACTATATATTTCATTTTCCTTCTCACATCTTACGCCTAAATATTTTTTAAATTACAGTTCATTTTTTTCAGAGAAAGATTATTTTCTAATTTTAATTCTGATACGCAGCATGGCTTCAATTCCTATCCATTGACAGTCGCATACTTGGCTCAACTTATCAAAACAAAATTATTAAAAATGCAATGCTACCTATCGACCAATCTATGCTCTGACCTATCTTACCTATGATCCAATTCCGTTAGTGGAAAGAATTCATTTCTTTCTCTTCAAAACTAAAAACGATGCGCACTGTTTGATGGAACTATTATAAGTATTTCATATTATAAGTATTATAAGTATTTCATATTTTAATTTACTTTTCTGTTTGAACTTTCAAACTGCAGTAAGAAATCTGTAAAATTTTCGTGGCGAATCGTGTAAAAATATCGTCAAAACATTTTTTAAACTATTTTTTCTTAGTTTTCTAAATTCATTGTAGAGAAAATTTGATACAATTAAATTAAATTAAATTTAAATTAATTTTATAGTCGCTTTAATTATTTGGATTTTCGATTACTACATAGCTTAACTTAGAATTAGAATCAGCAAATTCAGCATTAACTTATTTTTTTCCTTGGTTCACGACATTCACTAATAGGCACGCAAGCCATTGATGCATTTCGGCGATAAGCGTGAGGTGAACAGTAGCATTCATTGAGCCGACAAATCGCTCGGCATGGAGTCTGAAAATTAATTTAAATTAATAAATAAAAAGAAAATTATCCAACAAAATATGAAAAATTAAAGGAATCTAAATATAGGTCAGCAGTGCTAATTGCCTATTCCAAATTATCATCTACATTCAGCCAAGAGAAAGCACTTTTTCCAGGGTATTTTTATCTTCCCACATCCAGGATCCTAGATTTCTGAATCATATTCGGCTAAAATATGGCTTAAGAGTTAGATTTAGCTTTTTAAAGCGTTTTTTGAAAATGTCGAAATTCTTCCTCAATACTGCGAATTTCTCTTTGGCCCTTAGGCCACCTTTAGCCTATGGCTAATTTAATTGCATCGTTTGAAGCTCTTTAAATGCTACATGTTCACTTTGGCCACACTTTAGTTCACAACCAGCGCAATCGCTTTTAACTTCGTTTTCCCCGCATTCTTTCTCACTTTGTGCATCATAAATGATTAATACCTGAAAGAAAGTTCCAAAAAAAGTTCCAAAGCAAATAGTGATTCCCAAAAGAAGTGAATGAATTTATCAATGAATATTGTTAATGAATTTTCAGAAAAATTTTAGAAACAATAAGAAAGCAGAAAGTTTTTTCAATTATTAAGGAAAATATTAATATAAACTTAAATAAAATATTTAAGTTAATATTTAAATATATATCAAATATTTAAAATTATTAATAAATTATTAATAATTATTATTATCAATAAATACTGTAAGGAAAAGCACTAACATAAATAAATAGTGGAAAAAGCATCACAATGAAGCAATTCACTTAAAATTATTTTGCTGATTTCTGAGAATTTCATGAAACTATTTATAGGTTTGATGGGGGTTTAATCATCTTTACTCTTCTTTTTTCCCTACTAATTTTAGTTGTTTTGAAAATTTTAAGAATAAATTTTAATGATTAATTTTAATAATATTTTAATCTTCTTAATATTATTTTCAACCAAAATTCTCACTCAATAAATTATTTGCGATAATTTTTTCAGCAAATATTTGATATATATTTGCCATTAATATATTTTATTTCATAGTAAACATTGGCCTAACAAAGATTTATGGCTTTTATTAGCTCAAATTATTATTGCAGAGGAACAACGATTTCAACAACGAATCGAAGAGTAAGTCACTAAAGAATTGAACTCCAAAATAGTATTCAGTAGTGATATGGATTTAACTTTTCGTGGCGGGTTTAATCCTATCGAAGAATATGAATCGAACCTCTATTTCCATTTAGTTTCCACTATATGAATTCCATATGAGTTTGTCGAATTTTTAAGAAAATGTTGACAGTAAAATGTAATTTTAATATAATTTTAGGAAATCCTAAAATTCTCGAACGTGGCAAAAATAAGAAATTTTTACCAAAATCTGGATAAGGAGGAGTGCAAAGGAATTTTTTGAGCCATTAAACAATTTCAAACTTAAGATTTGTAAAAGGCATTTTATTGAATATCCTGTGGATAACAAAGGATGGTGTGTTATATTAATTATTTAATTATTCGATATTTCCTTTTGATCTGATTTTATATATCATTATCATATATAATATCACTTATCATATCATTTATAATTCATCCAAAAAATATTTCATTGCTGATTATTTGATTGTCTATTTTAGCTTTGAAATATATTGAAATTAAAACTTTATCTATTAAAAAATGTATAGTTATGTTATTATTCCATAAAGAACTACGCCTCTTAATTTTCCACTTTTTTTATTCCGTGAATATCGGATTCGATCCGAAAGAATTCCCTTATACAATTCCCTTATCAAATAAACTAGAATCTTTTTTTTTTTATTTATAAGGGATAAATGCGAAAATCTTAGCAATTAGATTTGTTGCAATCCTTACCGGTTTCTCGCCAAAAAAATAGTGCAACTATTATAAATTTCAAAAGAAATTTTATTTATTTAAACTGGACTTCGAATATTTTTATAAGTTTATTTTGTATTTCAACTGTGAAATCCTGTTTTATTTAAATATTTTTATTATTTTATTATTATGAAAAAATTTATTTGCGGAGGAATTTAAATTTTTATATTAATTAAATAAATTAATTTGTATCGTTGTCTTTAAACAAATGTGGAGGAATTCCATCCTCTTGTGTTATCATTTTTCACTGTTATCATATCACATCAAAATATGAAATAATAAAATATTTAATATACAATTTTTAATGACTTTTAATTCATTGTTTTGATTTTTGAATAATTTAAATCATAATTTAAATCTTTAATTTAAATCTTTGAAAATAATATTTACTATTTTTCGTTTTGTTTTCGCTCAGCCAAATTCCATGGAAAATATTAAACGAATTGGTATTCGATAACAATAATTTTGTGTGGCCTTTGTTCAAATAGAATGTATGGAGGAAACTCTTTCTTGAAACTAACTGTTGAACCTTTCTTTAAATGAATGTTTAAAAAATCTAAAAAAGAGATATGATTTGATATGATATTTTTCTTTTTAAGAGTCCTCACCATTATTGGTTAAACTCGCCCCACTGGCCTGTCACAATTGGGCAATATACCAGGGAATTCCTTAGCGATAGAAATACAGGTGAGTCGTCAGCATCACCCAGAGATTTAATATGATATAGGAATGATATAAAAGTGTGTGATAAATGATTCTCGTGAATCTCAGATATATTTCGAGCCTAAATTGAACATTAAATTTTATTCAGTATTATTAAAAAATAAAAAATGAACTGACCAATTGATTCCGACTGACTCGGTTTGGTTGAGAGATTATCTGAGATAAATCACACTTTATTTCTGCTAATGAGATGATGAAATTATAGCAGAGCTAATCTCAGCAACTGACAGAATTTGGAAAGATAAACATAAAATGCATTAAAGGATGAGAGGCTTTAATACTAAGGATTCTTTAAGGCTCTCGTCAAATTTTCAATTTTCTTAAGCCACCTTAACGCTAACTCTTTCATAATTTTATAATCTGCAACTATGATCGTGAAATAATTGCAAGATTTGATAGGGAAAAAATGAAGAAAGGTTGAGGTGAGGGATAATCGCTTATAATTGGACCCAAAATGCTGTTAAACAACAAATTATTTTTACCATCCGATTATAGTTATTTCGAATTTTACTATATTATATTATATTTTGTAATTTTCTCTTTATTTCATCTTTAAATTGTTAATTTTGTTTTATTTTATTATATTTTATTGTATTATTTTTTTGTTTTTGTTTTTGCCATTAATTCTTATTATTTATTATTTTAACCGTTGTTATTAATACAAGCACATGGCGTTTGCGCCCTACTTGGCTGGTTTTCAATAAATAAATAAATTATTATGACAAGCGAATGAGATGCCAGTAAAGAGATTCGAAGAAAAAAGGTGGTAAAGATTCTGAAGCGTTCTGATGGAGAATTTTGGGTATTATGAAGGCACGAAGGGGATTCAAAAGGTTCGGAAGATCGCAATGGAATTCAAAGGAGCAATTTTTAAAGCAGATGGATTAAATTCGCTCCGCTGGCTTATCGGAAGAGAATTATTTTTTATAATAATACATAAATATAAATATTTTTAAAAATCAACCGACTAATCAACCGTTCAACTAACTAAATTTCTTCGAAAAATTAGAAAGAAAGAATTACAATTTTCTTCATTGAATCTTCGATTTGCCTTTGAAATCGAAACAGAAAGAAAGAAGAAACATTTTTTCGTTAACATAGCGCTGTGTTGGTGCAAATCGGTTAACATAATTCTCTGTAACGCGAATCGAGTGTTTGGTTTCATGTAGTGCAATGAAGAGGGATCAAACAATGAATATTCGTGATTATTGCTATTCGTACTGTCTGAGCACTTCCAACGCATTAAATACTTCACAACCTGGTTAAATAAGCGGAAAGTGCGACGATCAAGTGGAATCTTCCAGGTTGTTTTTTAATTCCCTTCTATTTTTTATATCTATAATTATACATTTATTTCTAAAAGCACCATTTCCAATTATAATTTCCGAATGGGTCCGCTTTGTCAGTTTGTCGGGCCGCGAAAACTTCCCAATCCAAGTACCATAGCTGGTCAGATGATTGTTATATTGTAAATAAATTGAAAACTATAAAAGCTTTTACTTGATAAATTAAGAAGACAATTAAAAACCTGTATTATTATATGAAAGCAACTTACTGGATGATACTACCAGAATATATTAAAATATATTTCAAAAAAATACTTCCCTATATCAATGAATACGAATTATTTTCAGTAAATATCGCGCAAAATTATATTCAAAATATAAAATAGCAATGAACCAGCGATGAAAATTGAGCCAACAAAATACAAGGACAAGAATGATATTGATAAAAAATTAAGACAAGCTGCTATGATGGTAAAAGAGATACATTGCGGAGTAGTCGAATACAGGAGAGTAGAGAAAAAATAAATAAAAATAAAAAATTAAAAAAATTAATAAAGCAAAATTATTAGCAAATAACGACGATAGCTGAGTGAATAAATGAGACAAATAAAATCTTCCCTTTAAATTAGGTAAAAATATAATAAAAAAATTGAACAACATTAAATGGCGATATCTATTTGAAAACTTAGAAAATGACAGAAATATAAGGCAAAATAAAAAAAAAGATAAAGGATAAGGTGATAAGCGAAAAAACAAGCAATTGCTTATAATTGCTTAAAATTGCTTATAATTTACTGTGAATGCCGACCCAGCAATTCTCAAAAATTAACCCATCAAAAATAGGACATTTCAAATGGTTCATAAAGACAAAAAGATTCATACTATTATCCGTCTTCTAACTTAAATTGACCTAAATATTGAAATATTGAAATATTGCAAAAATGGCAAATGGCAAAAACGAATGCCCAATTCAATTTATGATGAATAATTATCTAAAAAAAAAAATATTTAAAAAAAAAAACGAGTTCATTATTAGCAACAAATGTTTTAAAAGTTTTAAATATTTTTAAATTTATTTATTTATATTTATAATCATCTATAATCATCTATAATCATCTATAATTATTCATAAAATAATTTTTATTTATAATTTTCAAAATTGCAGATATCAATAGACATAGCTTTAAAGAGTTTAATTGGTTTGAGAACCACTGAGCTAATCTGATAAAAAAGAATTAAATGATTATTTTGATATTTGAAATATTTTACGAAATAAGAAATATAAACCAAAAATTTCCCGAACCTTCTTAATCTTTCATATAAAAAAAATTGTAATAAAAATAGAAAATTAATTAGAAAAAAATTTCATCCGAATCAAAATACTCGCAAAGTTTACAATTCCATCTCATATAAAATAAAAAACAAATTTAGACAAAATAATGCAACAGTTAAAGATAAAAAATTATAAATTAAAAATAGAAAAAATACTAAAATTAAAAAATCCCAACATTATATATCCTTCCACCTCTTAAATTTTTATTTTCATTGGTTAATAGAATCAAAACTTTTACCAACAACGATCCATAATTTACGAACTATTTTTACCAAAATAGAACTGGCATCTTAATTGTTGCGAGAAATAAATAATTTCATCTGCTCTTAGCAAAAATACTTAAGGCTTTAAAGAAGGTCCAAAATATATGGAAACCAAATGCTTTCCTGCGGTCGGAATTTTTGATTTTCTTTTTTCGTCAAACTTTAGTTAAATATCATCTTTGGATAAAATGGCAAGAAAAAACATTTCGCAAGGTAAAACATTAAATTTGGCAAATATAAATATTGACAATATCAGAAACGATGAAGACGAACTAAACTGGAAGAACAACCAAGAAAATAACACCTATCTCAAAAAAATGTGACTGAATGCTAAATTCAGTAAAAAGAACATAAAAAATTTCCTAGATGCAAAAAAAAATTCATTCTCACCGTGATGATATGTGGCTTGATTAGGCATTATCGTTTCTTTCATTCATTTTATAACATCTTATACCATTGCTGGTTTAGCTGGCTCCAAATGGCTTGGTAATAAGATAACTGATGCTATAATTGAAACCAGACTGCGCTTTCGACCACAAGGCTTGGAAGATTTTACTAGCACAATCGTAAGATTACCATCTTTTTTGAAGCCTTTCAACACAATGTTTGGCGTGCAACGAAACATCAATTTCTTGACATAGAAGGCAAAGAATGTGACCTAATTAATGTGGTTCTATAAGAAATAAAAAAATATTCCACTAAGATGAAAATTTTGTAAATTCTGAGAGAAAAGACCAACTGAAAAACAGAAGACAAAAATTTAATAAAAATAGAATTTAAAAAACAGAAGGAAGCAAAAAAACTATTCAAACCTGTCCGACGAAAAATAAGGCCGTGCAAAAAGCTGAAAATAAAAATAGCACAGGAAAAAACTTAAGAGAGAAGATTAAATTTACGATTAAAATCATTTTTTTTGCAAAATGAAGAATATATAAAAAAAGAAAAAATAAGGAAATTTGGGTTCACATGAAATGAGCGTATGCAAATTAAAACTTGTCTGAGATGAAAAATGCAAGAGATTTCGTCAAAAGAGTTTCATAAGGCGTTATGAAAAAAATAACGAGCACATCAAAAAATAACATCAAACCTCCCTTGAAAAAATAATAATAAAAATAATCAGTACAAATGTCTGAACGGATATCTTTTAAACATTATCAAAAGCAAACAATTTATTCTACCTCCAAAAATTGAAGGAGATTTGATAAACTTGTACATACCTGTTTTACATTAAAAGCTCCCGAAAGAGGGAAATATAGCAATGACTACAAAATACGCAGAAACTATTAGCATTATAAATTTCACCTAAAAGCAATAAGGGCTAACAAATATTCAACATATTAATAGAAAGCTTAATGTAAAATTAAAATATTACCAGTCATGACGATCCGAAAGAACCAATGGTTTCTTAAACAATCACAGATAAAAAAGAAAGTTGTCCAAAATTCTCAGAAAATTCCTCTATCTATCTACTTACAGTTCTTCGTATAAATATCTGCAAACAATTTCAAAACATTGTATGCTGCATTATTGTGTGCATCCTCTTCCGAAGCACCATTTCCGGAACAAACCTACGAGAATTGCAAACGATTTATTTCAATTTGTGGAGAATAAATCTTTATCTAGTCTTAAGTCTTTTAAGTTTTGTCTTTTTTCTAGTTTCTGATGAACAAAACAACCGATCAAAGAACAATACAATAATAGAAAAAACAATGGAAAAGCAGAAGCAGAAAAAGACTTACTACAGGTGATTCTATTCCAACAGAAACAAGAGCAAAATAGTGACTCCCTGAATTTTCATTATTTTCAATCTGCAAATGATATGATATGCAGATAAAAAGATATGATTATTCGATCAAAATAATGAGAGATAAATCTTTTGCTGATCTATTATTACGATGGTGATCTTGGAATTTTATGCTAAATTAGAAAATTTTTTCCTAAAATACATCAAGTGCAGCTTGATTGCTTTCACCGCAGTTAGATGTAGAGATAGAAGCATTTGAATGAATCTACAACAACCACTTGAATTTTATTTAGAATGATAAGGAATTCAAATTGAATCTATACTATTTGCTTTCGTATTGCTTTCAGCTACGTGTGATTCAATCATTATGCATAAAACATTCAAACTAAAGGTGCGAAAAAAAAGTGGTAAATTTTTTTATTATGGAAAAAATTTAAGAAATTAGATAGAAAAATCAAAAATCAGGTAGTGGTAACTGAATATCTTTACTTTATAACTTATAATTTTTAATTTATATAATTCAATTTTTTAATTTACCATTACCTGATTTTATATATATATACCTTTGGAAAGTCGGTGTACTGGATCGAAAATTCAAATGCTTCCGCAATTCGTTCAAGACAATGGCAAGCTGATTCTGTAACTAAAGTTTGAGTGTCTGAATTAGTTGGCCATTTCTGGCCACCAATAATTCCAGTTAATTGTGGGAACGGACCAAGAGAAAGTTGACCCATTTTTTGATGCAAGAAATTTGCCTCTTCATTTACTGTAAAATTTGAATAAAAAGTTTTTTATAATATAAAAAAAAGTAAAGAAAATTTCCTTATAAAGATGAAAAAACAGTGAAAATCTAAAAATTGATTTTGCGAAATACTACCATTTTGATTAAATTTAAAATCATCGCAAGGAACGATACGCTCATTGGACCTGGATAAAAACTCCACCGCTTTAATTCCAATTAGTTTCTTTTCTTCATCATTTAAATTTTTCTTCGAATCACGTCCTATAATAATTTTGCTTTCGCATGGAAAAACAGAAATACATTATAGAAATAAAATAAAATAGATATTTGAAAAAACACCCAGCTTCAAATGGTGAATTATAAATCTTGTGGATATTTAGAAATAAATATATAAATAAATAATATAAATATAAATAAATAAAATAATATAATAAATGATTAATAATTATACTTACGCTTCCGAGATTTACTAACGAAAACCATCTCTGATTTTAGAGGCGCTATTAGAGCAGATGGATAATTGCTATCATCTGAATTTAAAACTTAATGAAAAATGTTACCTAAAATGGAATAAAAGTAAAGAAAATGGTAGACGAAAAAATATATATTTTGGTATAATGGTTCCAAACAAAAATGTATTTAAAGGACAAACCTGGAGGAGGACAGGCACTAACTTCATTACTGAATGTAACGCGTCTTTTTACAGATTGAGTGCCACTGTTTTTAACATCTTTAATTGAGCCTTCACTAAAAAAAATTCAATGAGAACAAAATTTGAGCATATTTGAGCATAAAGAAGAGTGGAATACTTTCACTTTTGATAGAAAAAAGCGAAAAATCAAAAGATTTACAAAATAAACAAAAATGGGAATAAGAAATATGGGAAATCTTCTCTAAAAGAAGATGAAGGCAAATAAGGAAAAGATAAAAAGTTTCTGGTAAGTTTTCTAATATCTCCACCAACTGGGAAAATCTAAAGATAATCAATGTCAAAATAAATTGCGCTATTTTCTATTCACTGGTAGCAATAATTGAATTGTCTGTTACTTAAATAAGATAATAATTAATAATAATAAAAAATATCAAACAGAAAAAAAATAAAAATGAGAACTTAAAAATGTTTTCCTAAACAGAAAAAAAAGCGAGAAAGAAATATACAATATAAGAAATATATTGTATAAGAAATATATAAAAATAATAACCTATGATTATGAGAAATTCCACCTTTATGAATATTACACTGTTCCTCTCCCCGAAAAATTTCGTCAACATCAGCAAAAGTCATTATCTGAGATCCTATGGTTGCTGTAACCGAAAGAGTGACTTCAGAAATCGCTTCTGCAAGCATAATAATTATTTTATAAAAACGCATGGGCGAATGGAGACAATTTCACCTATCCTTTATCCCATTCAGCCAAATTCAGAAACGTCCCACAGTGTTATATTAATAAAATTAACAAATAATTAACTAATAATCCACTATAATCGCAATAAAATCCAAAAAAGGGCAAAACAAAATATTGAACGAATTGAATAAAAATTTTGTACCATCTGTGGGGTGAGGAATTTCGTTCTTCATCTTATCATTCATCACCAGTTTATCATCAATTATTGGTGTAGAATTAATTACATTCGCAGGTTCACAAGAATGTTCATTTTTTCTAAATTTTTCGGAAGCAACATCCACAATTTGTTGATTTTCCTTTGTTAAATAATCATTATTTCTTTTCTTCAATAAACTTTTGCCAGGTTTTGGCATAGGTTTAACATATCCAATCTTAGCCAACATTATTTCTGCAGCAGCACGTTTAGCCAATTTCTTATTTGGACCAATGCCTTCACACCGTAGTTCATCCCCACATGTTACCTTTAATATTATCAAAAAATCAAAGTGATATAAACTGCAAAAACTTTTTGATATATTAAATCAATCATAAAGCAAAAAAATTATCAAAATATTAATATATTATTAATATTATTAATATTAATATTAAAATATTAATATTATTAATATTATCAAAATATTCCTCTTGTAACTACTCATTGTTGTTCTAAGCACGTTATATGTAATAATATTAATAATAAAAATAAATAAATCTATCTTATACAATGAATAATTGCAATTTCTTATAAATTTGTTTTATTTTATTGTATTACCCTCATTTTTTCAACTTTTTCGATTTTATAATGTAAAATTCTTCTCAAATAAACGTTTCAAAATAGATGACTAACCTCGACAACAAACTCTTTATATCGATTTTGACCACGTTCTGCGATTAATTGGAACCGCGGCTCTTTACCCGTTTTAGTTTGCATCACCTGCATTAATCGACTGACAGGATTGATTTGTTGCCCATATTCGGGATCCATTTTTTTGTCCTTCAATAAACTTCTAAACTCAAAAGGAACTGTTATAAGGATACTTTTAAGTTACTAAATAATTTGAACCAAATTATATAAATTATATAAGTTAAGAATAAAAAATATCAGAACCGTACAGAAAATAAAAACCTTCACTCCAACGCTTTCAAGCTTTCAACATTTTTCCATTAAATTTTAATTTTTTTTTTAAAGTATTGTATTGTATAACTTACTTTAATTATTGTTTTTCTTTTATTTTCTTTAGAAACATACAATTTTTTTTGTGATTTTAATATGGTTGACACAATATACACTGGTGAATTGACTGCAAATAGCTATTTTCTAGTTCCACTAAATTATATTCGGTAATAATTAGAAATATGCAACAAATCTCATTATCACTTTTCACATATATCTAAATTTTTTCATCAATCAAAAATATTTTATTAAAAAAATGCAAAAAAATGTCCATAAAGATAAACCTAAACCCATTGATTGCAATTTCGACAACATAAGAACACAGGCATTTTGCTTTGCTAATTTCTTGCTACTTCCTTCACCATCCGTAGTGATAATTTCTTTAGGAGAAATCATTTTGCAACGCGAAATATAATGCCTATCATGTGCTGGACCATCTTCTTTTATAATCTGAATCAGCGCATTACAAAAAGAAAAATTTAATATCCGAAGAAAATATTAAATTCCACCTAGTAAAGATATATATTATAGAAATTAGGGTAAAGTTTGGTAATTTATAAAGACGATGACGAAAATGCAACAAACTTCAAATTCAACATTCATTCTCATTTGTAAAGCACATTCGTGCACACGTGATATGGCAGATTTTTGCTTCACATTGTGAACCAATCCAGAATGGGTTTCAATATCCGAAATATTAAGGGTCCTATTTGAAGGTAAATCGTTGGGATTTGGAGTATGAAATGAATGAGTCTGTGATTCAAAATCTGTAGTCTCTGAATTATGCATTTTATTCTTCAGTAACATTCCATTCTTCAAACCAGCAATACCATTTGGATCTGAAATAAATGAAATAAAGAAATAGAGAGGAGAAACAAGAATTTCCAGCGTTGCAGAAAAATATTCCTTTCTTCTTTAAAAATATTGTAATATAAATATTGATAAATATTGATCTGCAGCAAAAAAAAATTAAAAAAATAAAGTAGTTATTATTAAACAAAGTAGAAGTCAAAAATATAAAAATTAAACGACTAACATTTTTTTTGGCCATTAGATACAATGCAGCTATCATCAAGAGCATCATTTAATAAGGCAAGTTGAGGTCTAAGACTGTCTACAGCCTGAAACAAGTTATTTCTGGACAAAAAACGGCTTTCAGAAAGTGATCACCAGTGATTAAAAAATTCGACATTCATAAATAAAATATAAGAAAGAATACAATAAATACCATTTCAGCAGCTCTTATTTTTGCTTTATTCCACGTTGGTCCTTCAGCTACAAAACCAGGTAACTTTTTGTTCAGCGTTAAACGAACCTATAACGAAAAGAAATGCAGGAAATAGAAGAGAATAAATAAACCTAACTTCTAGATAATTTTCACTCTCATTAAGAAAAAAATTGGTCGAGTGTCATATTGCTTCGACTAAGATCAAGCTATCATAGATTGTTTCTCTCTGGTTGAAAATCTAATTAATCTAATTAACAGTGAAATTTATACACTGTAAACCAACTTACGCTCCAAATAAGGCAAAAAAATCTAATATACATTGGAAATAGCCATAACAGAAATGCTCAGAAATAAAAGCTTATAAAAAAAGATAATTCATCAAAATAAACTTTTGAATACATAAATAAATGATAAATGAAAAAAAAAAATTCCTTAAATCTTCAAAAAATAGAATTGAATTTAATCGAAATTGCCATCGTCTTGTCAGATTAACTACTTAAATTAGATTTATTTCAAACTATTTCAACAAATTTCATGAGGTTTTGTGTTAACAAGCAACATTTTTGGTTTAACTAATTGATATTAGTCTTCGTGTCATTTGGAAATAGTACATAGGCCCATATCAGAATTCAATCTTTTTCTATTAATTATTTGAAGATCTATGAAACTTCTGTACTTTCTACATTATTACTCTTTTCCACACGAATAAATTGGAAAGAAGAAAGGGAAAGATAAAAGAAAGGAAAAAACAAAAGTGAAAGAAATTAAAATAAATTTGAAAAAAATCAATTAAATAAAATAGGAAAAAAAGAAGCAAAATATGACGAAAACTTAGATATAAAAGAAATAATAAAAGATAAAATAATATTTACTTTGAACACAAGCGGCCCAGGCGACTGCAGAGGTAGAGGAGGACGCGGAATCGGTTTATGAAGATTACACAGAAATCGTAAAGGAGCTGGTTGATAAAATCGTGGCATCGGTGAAGGAAAAACAGGTATTTGGAAAAACTGTTCACTTAAAAGAGGAGAAGGTGGAATATTGATACATGCTGGCCTAAAAAATATTTGGTGAAATTTTTTTTATAAACAGGTGCATTCAAAATCATAAGATATAAAAGAATATGAACAAGCCTTATCGCATGGGGAGGCACCGGTACAACAAATGGAGGATTTAAAGCCACAAAATCGACTTCAATGCCAAGTCGCTGAGCAATACAATTTAAAATGAAAACCCAATCTCTTGGATCTAAAATATTTTTGAAATTTTACGAATAAAAAATAACTTTGAGAAAATTAAATAGATAAGTAAATAAACAGTGTGGTTACAAAAAACATTTCCAGAATTAAAATTGAATTTAAAACAAAATTTAACAGAATTTAAAACAAAAAAGAAAAAAAAATTCTGACCTTTTCGATATTTTTTCATTAGAATACGTTCCGGAGGCCGCGATAAAGTAGTTTCCTTCAACGCTACGTCAGCAGCTGCTTGTTGTGCTTTTTTTATTGATGCTCCACAACCATAGAACACCTTCAACGTTTATAGTTAAAGCAAAAAGCAAACAGCATCGCCCGTCAAGATAAACAAAAAAGTGTAAAAGTGTAAAATCTCATACAAAAAAAGCAAAATTTTTCGCATGAGAATTTTTTGGAATAATATATGAAAGAAAAAAGCGAAAATACAAAGCTATTGTCCCATATATAAACTAATGCATATCGCACTAAATGCCAAGCCCTGAGGTGAACAATGTCGAAAGCAAGTAAAATGCAACAAAACTTGGACTAACAGAGCAAGAGGATCAGAAGTTATAAATGCACAGGACCAAAGGTATATGGGCTTACATGGTGGAGCTAACTAAATCAAAAGTGGTGCGAATTGACAGAAAAGAAAATACAAAACGATGCAAAATACGAAATAAAACACCTGATCAGGCGTAAGCGTTAAAGCCACAGTAAATCTTTTTTTATGAGCTGGTCCGCTTTCATCCATTAATTTATATTCATGTTTTAACTGAAAGAAATTTCATTATGGAAAAAAAATCCATGAAATTTTCGCAAATCATTTATTATAAGCTATCATCTTGCAAAAAATAGCGAACACCGGAATAAAAATCATAATAGTCTCCAAGGTCTCCAAAAAATTTGTTCCTTTATTGTCGAAAAAAATATACCCGCCATGAAATATATCAGTGCCTAATATATCCAACTTCGCAATTCAATTTAATAATAAAAATTTAATAAAAAGTAAAAATAAATAAAAATAAAAAGTTAATAAGAGTTCAAATTTCTTTAATTCTGGTTGATTTTTTCACAAGACAGAAACACAAAATGAATAAAAATAAATGGATTGCCAGTTAGCCTGAATTTTTTGCGCATTCTGTAAGGGCTGGGAAATAAACAGTTCATTGCGGGACAATGAAGCAATCACATCACTCGACTACCCTTACCTTCGATGTAGCGATACAAATAAAAAAAAAAACCTTATTATACTTGGCGATTTCAGCGATTCGACACATCGGCGTTCGTTCACGTAATTCGTCCGGTTGTGCATAATTATAAACACTCTTCGTTGATGAAGCATTCTGATCTAAAATAGAAATTTTCTATTCGTATACAAATAATTATTAAATGTTGAACATACAATAATTATTAAATGTTGAACATTAATCACCATTGGGTACCAAAAGTCACCACAAGTTAATACGAAGATGCTATGCTTTGGAACGACAGAGACCTCCTTTATTTCGATTATTTAGAAATAGTTTAGAAATATTTCAAAAAAATTAAAATTAAAGATAAAATAAGGAATAAACCTGAAATATGCTGCCCACACCAAGGTTGTGGTTGAAATACGACACTTTTCTGAAATTCAACTTTTGCACCATCATTTGTCATCGATAGCGATTCAACCATTTCCTAAAAAAATTTTTATAACCATAAATTAAAAGATTTATAAAAAATTTTAAAGAAACAAAAGCAAACCTGCTTCTAAAGAGCTCAAATGGTACTTGTAACCCACTATCACTACGGCTCATTTATCTAATCTTACAGTCAGTGGTACAAAATCCTTGATAAAAGTATGATAACTAATATATAATGATAACTATAATATATATATAATGATAACTAATATAACTAATATATATAACTAATATAAAAATATATATTGTCTATTGAAATCAATTTTCGATAAATCACAATCTAGCAGGATCTGATTAGCCTGACTTTCGCTCCCTCCCCAACATTTTAGTCAGATCTCAAGCCTCCGACCTTTGACCTCATTCAGCTATCCCACGCCACATAAAACTTCCTCTTTCCCAAACAGCAATCGAATCTTTTCAACCACTCTAGAAATAGGCGACAAAATCGAAAATACGTGCAAATCGAATGAACTTCCTCTCATTCTCTGACTTTTCTCTCTTCTAACCTGCAATCTAACGGGCCACAAAATATTTTCTTCTCTCATTTTTTCTCTATTTGATCGGTGATATTGAATTTTCTTTCAAGAAAAATCTTTTTTTCGAGAAATTTACTCATTTTTTTTTGAGATAATTTTATAAATTGAATAAATTTTGAAAAAAAAAGTTTAGTTTATCTTCAAAGTTCACGGAAAAATTTCACGGCCTATCCAAGAATGGAGCCGCGGCCGTGGTTGGTTTACTTTTATAGCTCAAAGCGTTCATCGCTTCTGGTCAAGATAATTTGGCTTGCTTAGTCCGAAATTTTTACCGGGTTGAGGTAGCTCAGTTTGGTTGGCGGTTGGTACCTCTCGGGTTTTTTTAGTGTCCTTTCGGTTTCCTTCTATAGTAGATTTAGGGGTCAAATATATTCATGCTCGATGCGAATCGTACTTTTCGTCAAAAGTCGGTAATTTTCTTAGAGCTTAGTAGGCCGAGGATTTTTTTCTGGATCTTCATTTTTAATAGTTATAATTTAAATATTTAATTTTTATCAAATTTTTCGTTCATAATTCAAATGCGATGGATTTAATTTCAGGTTTTTGCCAAAAAATAGTAATTAATTTATCACTTTATTTTTTTCCTTTAATATATTCGTTTATTATGCGTTCAGTGCTATGTATTCTTTTTTTTCTCTTTATTCTTGTCGAGATTAAATTGATAATTAAAATTGGAATTGGGGATGGTGCAAGATGGTGATTATGATGTTCTCGTTGGTGCAAAATGGTGATTGTGATATGCCGGTTGGCACGAATTTTATCGCTTAGAGATCGCTAATATTGTAAAATCATATTATTAAATGTAAAATATCGAATAAATAAATTTTGGGAATTGAGAAAACAATGAGAAAATGTGGAATTTTCGAAAAATTGTCGAGTTTTGTTGGCGTTTTTTGGATATCAGATGACCGAGTTGAAGCAGGTCAGCAACAATTTTAACCCGCAACTTTTTTCTTATTTTATGAATATAACGGAAAAATTTTATATAATAATTGAGAAATATAATAATTCACAAAGCGAATTGGAAGATTGAAGATTGTGCCTGAATGGTCGAATGGCATATTGCTTCTAAGATTAAGGTTCAGAGATTTGATCTATGTCTCTCGATGGAAACATAGATACCTTTACAAAAAAGGGTTCCAGGAAGCCACTGACAATTCCTACCTCCTAGTGATTCTCTCAAGAAGAGATTCTTAGCAGTCAAAATCATTTAAACAAAAAATGGTAGTTGCCTGTTTAAGAAGAAACTCTGTTGTGGGCAGTTTCATAAAGAATTAATAGAGAATTAATTTTTTCATGTTTGGAAATCATTATTATTATTCCTTATTTTTTTTTAGAGATTCAGTCAATCTTCCAGTTTATTTTATTTAATTATTTTATAATTTTTTTAAAAATTTTATTAATTGCAAGTTCCATAAAGAGCGAAGAGCGATAATTTTTATGATCTCATATAATATTATTATAAAACGATGGAACATATTGTTGGTATCAGCTTGTACGTCCTATTAATTTCAACGCTAGGAATTCTCAGCAACATTTATTATTTTTTAACGAAAATCTGTATGGAAAATTATGTCAAACTTATGGCATCTGATTTACGGAAAGCGAAAGGAGATTTGAGAATATGATTCATCAGATGCATCAGATTAAAAATGTCATATCAAATATATATTTATATATGAAAACCATTAATTAAGCGAATACTTAATAATTATTAAACCAGGATGCGGTTAAATATAATAATTATAAATTGTAATTTCAGAGATGCTGTGGACAAAAATTGATTTATAAGTTTTCTTCCACAAACGCATTATTAGTTGGAAAGTGTTTTTCACGAACTGGTTTATCTAAGCTGTTTGGATTATCTGTGATGACATAACTGTTACAATATTAACAACTTTACATCATTTGAAGGTTGATATTTTTACATTTTTTAATGTCTGCTTATTTTCTTATTTTTCTTATTCTTACACTTAGCACAATCATTGCTTAGATTGGTTTCTCTGGCTATGAGGTATTTCCAAGTGGCTCAGTCCAATACCATACCGTTATAGGCACCATTTTTTAATCCGATATATAGTTTGGCGAATCTTGTGATTGTATAATGTATGATTGATTTTCGTCATATTAATTCTTTTCTTTCATTCAGTTTTTTTTATGTTAAATGATAACTTGTAGGTACTAATAAGTAGAGTGAGGTGAGGGTAAAGTTTTATTAAATATTTATTGAGAAAATTACAAAAATAATTTCATTAAATACATAAAATACATAAAAACTCTACTAGGATTCGAATCTGGCTGATACTATGCTTGGTCGCTGAACGGAAGCAAAAGGAAAAAAATGGGGTTGTGGCTCAGATCGCAGCAAGGGTTGAAGTTCCACAAGAGTAAACCTGTCCTTTAAAATTCCAGACGACGTTCGTGACTCACCTTATCTCTATTGCCAAATAATTTCTTGGTTTGTCTGATCCAGCAAACCAATGAAGCGAGCCTGATCAGCGGTGGTGAAGAAAAAAAAAATTGTGAGAATTAATAACATTTGAATAACAATAAGAATTTTATTTTAGTCAAAAACGGACTTTGGCTTTATTTATCTTCTTTCTTCTTCTTAGAATAGCCCACAACATTTTTAGCTTGTTTCCATTCCCTATCAAGAAGCTGTCTCAAACCTCTATGTTTCCCATTCGCAACTTTGGTGACGAATTCAGTTAATTACGCCAAATAATTTTTTGGTAACTCTTTATAGTCTCTCTTAGTATGTTTTCTTCATCAAAATTTTTCTTGTAATATGTTCTTAATTACTAAAATTAAGTATTATGCTTTTGTCGACTAAAGCCAATTTCTTCACTTAATAGAAAATTGCGGAAGAAATTTTGAATAAGAATTCAATTCATAAATTATATATTAAAGTGTTAAGTGCCACGATAACCTCATTTTTCAGATTTTTGATTTTATTTAATAAATTCTCAAAAGAAATTACTTTTAATTCGGTAAAGAGAAAATTTCTCGATGTGCATCATTATTTCTTAAGCAATTATTTCGATTTCAATAAAATTTACGATGTTTCGTTGTTATATCGTTTTCTTCAAATATATTTGAATATTAAGAATTATAAATTTCGAAGTAAATTTTCAAATTCAAAAAATACATCGTTTTTTTTGATAATTAGAAATATAAGAAAAATGCAACAACTATAATTTATCCGATAAAGATTTTATTTTTTTATAATTTTTATTATTATTTTTATTATTATTAAAAATATTTTTTAATAGGTTAATTTTTTCATAATTTCAAAAAAATCTTTTAAGAAATCACTTCTAAAATCTTTATTTTGCAAAATTTTATATTTTATTGAAATAAACATAAACTGCTATTCTAAAATTTAAATTTTAAGATTTTATATTCTTCTTTTATAATTAGCAGTGGAAGTGGCAATTTAAGTATATCCAGTGAAAGCTATATGTCGGCTATCGACTATTTTCCTTTTAAAGTTATGCATTATTTCTGGTTTGGCTGATTTTATTACCACAAGAAAAAGATATTTTCATATCACTAGGTGCAGAGACTCAAATAAAATTGGCTAAAACCAGGCCAATATTTTTTCATTTTTTAATTTAAATTATAATAATATACATATATTCATTCAATAAATATAAATTGTATTAAATAAATATAGTGTTCAATAAATATAAATGAACGATTAAATATAAAAATTTGTTGTTTGATCAGCTTGTTGTTAGGAATTTTTCATCTTAATAATGAACTTGTTTAATATTCATTTTTATTTAAGTCAATAATTATATATAAATTGTCTGAATAGTTGAATACTATGTCATTACTTTCGACTTCGAGTAATTGCGAATATGACTATGGTCCTTATTCTTTGAGATATGAATGAATCTATCAGCAATGCGGGGTTCGGACGGGGTTCGGAATAAGTAGGGATAAGCAGCTAAAAACTACTTTTCGATTTTATACTTTATACTTGCTCGACGTGTGGGAATAGACTAATGAGATTAGTTCGAAATTCATTGAAAATCTAGGAAGTAAAATAAAATTTGGCGTAGCGACTTGATATAGGAGTGGTGAGTACCATAGATTTTTGCTTGGCGAAATAAACCTTTTGTAGTG